ACAGATACTTTTACAGATACTTTTACAGATACTTTTACGAGTATATATTTTTAATTGAAAAAAAGTGAAATTAAGAATATTTAAGTGCATGCAAAATATATTAGGTTCTCGAGTTTCGAATAGAGTTTCGAATAGAGTTGCGTGAAGATTTCTCATTAAATGATTGATTGATATTGCAGTATTGCAGTATTGAAAGTAGAAATATGTACCATTTTATTTGTTGATTTTGATAAATTTAAAAATGTTTAATGTTTACGATAATAAACAGGTAATTTATTTGCAGACGCCACTATCAATAATCCAATTAGAGATTAAATAGATTCAATGAGATGCAAAGGGATACTTACAGTACGTGCATAGTACTGTACATAATACATGGTATATACATAAAAGTTTTGGATGGTGGAAGAAAATCTCGGAGTCAAAAAAAAAAAAAGGATAATTAGTCATTAATAGTAATCAGTAATTAGAAATAAGAATAATTTTGTTAACATATCAAAATTCAAAATTTAGAAATTTAAAAATTCAAAAATTTAAAGTTGAAAATATATTACTGTAACAATAATAAAAGGTAAATAAAAATAATATATTAAAAAAAAAAAAATTTAAGTTATTTCTGTATTAAAAGGAAAAATAATATCCGGATCCACAAGTTCAACAAAAAATTAAAGAAATATTTAAGGAGAACTTTGAACACCCGTGCATCATGCATCGATCCTGCCTTAAAAAAATGAGATGAATAGATGATAAAAACTACTTGTACACAGGTTTAAGTTGACGTACCGGTACACATATATAAACTATGGTATAATTTACATATAATGTCATTACCATTATATATGATACATAGGGTACCCAGACCAAAAGTGGCAAGAAGTTTAATAGTGGTCAAAGCAGGGACTGTTGCAGGCCCCTGATAATCGAAAATAAAAGTGTAAATTTTATTGGCATTTATTTTGGAACGGGTACATGTTACAATTTACTTTAAAGTTTCGTGGGGTAGTTCCAATGATCAATTGGTATTAAATTTCCTAGTTAAAACATGATAACCCATGTTCAACATATAATGTCAAACCATGCGCAGAGTATACATAAACATATGTGTATGTATATGTGTACTATATATATATATAATATATATTTATAATATATATATATATGTACATATATATGTATATGTGTACTGTTATATATTTATATATACCGATACGTATACTGTGTATAAAGTATATTACATATTATATATATATATATATATATATATATATAAGTATGTATATAAATTTATATATAAAGATATATCTCATGATCATAGGATTATTTAGAAGATTTAAAGTTTACATTAAAAAGAAGAAAAAAGAAACGTTGTAACCATGTTGGACGAAAAATCCGGCTTCTTTTTATGATTACGTGGTAAAATACTTGTTATGAACAATTAATAAGGATAAATTGATATTACAAAGTGAAAAAAAAATAAAAAAATTCTTAATTTCTCAATGGATGCAAGTTATCCATTTCGTTCATACGCGGATAAGTGCAGCTTAAAAGATGATTCCCTTAATTAAGCTGTAGATAGTATTGATCAACCGGTCTTTCTTTGCAGAGGATGGGACCTGTAAATATATGGAAATTTTGAAATCCTGAAATTCTTGAAATGTTGCTGAAATCACTAGAAATAATGTGTATTACGACATGATTATTTGTTTATCTTTAAAGTACAATCTAAATGCACTCTAAAAAAAAATTATATATATAACGATAAATATATATATTCTAAAATACACTTTAAAACACTTTAAAACACTTTTAAAAAAAATTATATACTTTAAAAAATACACCTTAAAAAAAATACATTTTAAAAGTATATAACTTATAATACTTTTAAAAAATTGTATTTGGAAAAATTGGATTAAAAGCGCGGTAATTGCTGTGAAACAGTAAAAAACGTCTTTAAAAAAGAATTTATTAAAGTTAGGATCGGATGTTAACTACATAAAAATAACAATATTATTATAATTGATAATTATGATAATTATGATAATTAATAAGTAATACAGTATTTAACTATTAGATACATCATTATTATTGTAAATATTATAAATATTATAAATGAAATGACTTTAAAAACATTAATTACAGAACTACAGAACTACATGATTACATGATTGTTTGATGAAATATTTAAAACGGTAGATAAAATAACGCGTAAAACAAGAATACGCATATCCCTAATCATGTATTTCATAGATGTATAATATTGTATCATAGTATCATACGAGTGTTACTTTGTCTAACCATCCTATTCTAGCTAAACATCTATAATTAAAACATCTATAATTAACGAATTACAGAAAGATCGCTGACTTTAATCCCTCATTCGTTCACAATTTTTTTTTTTTCTGCCGATTCTGCCAAATTTCGTCAATTCCGCCAATTCTCTTTTTTTTTATTGATGATCAAACTAAAACGAATCAAGAACACAATAATGAAAGTAAAATTGACAGTTGAAAATCGGAGTAATTTTTTTATTTCTCTTTACGTCATCGTACGCAAAATATAATAGATTAATTGATGAATCGGAACAAACTTAACTTTACGTGCTTTTCTTTACTACAATCGCGTTATCGAAACATTACGATGGAACGTTACGCATCGGGTAAGTGCGAGTCGTGGGCAATTAGGTAACCGATCCAACTTGAAACATGAATTTCTGCAAATGGTTAGTTTTACAGCATTATTCCCTTTAATTCGAAATAACTTCCACAAATGTTTTTTATATATGTCATTTTAAAAGATTCGTTATCCTAAAATCACTTGAAGGCGTCTTTGCGCTACTCTATGTGGGAAACAGCAAAGCACATATCCGTCATAATGCATAACTTTGCATGAATAAGCTATATTCATTCTTACCATTCATTCAATCTTGAAAAAAAAAAGATATATTACACATTACGTATATTACGTAGTATATTTTTTTTTCCGAAGAATCAAAAAAATTGTGAAACACAAGAATTCCCGTATTGAGTTTTTGGATGGTCTTATATGTGGTACACGTGGAACCTTACAATAGACATCACCTTAAATGGTTCAAATGATCATTCGATTTCTCTTCTTTTTAGATTTATTATCAAGTTTTATTAAGTTATTTCTGTACGTAAATTTATGTAAATTGTTTATTTATTTATACGTATCGTCGTTGTTTATTCGTTTTTGTTTATTATTAAAAAATTTTATGTATTTATGTATGTACTTGCTCTTTCACAACCTTGCAATCGATTACCGATTCATTTATTTATTTATGCTTATGTTTGTATTCTTGTATTTTTGTATTCTACTACATTACTATTGCTATTATTGCTATTATTGATGTTCTACGATTCTACGTACGTATGTACGTACCTACATACATACTAGAGTACTGTACCCGACGTACGTTCTTCTTTATTATATAGTAACTGGTAATAAAAAACATTATAAAATTTATAAACGTTAACAAACAATTATATTATATTCAATGGTTATTTTGTGTCTTTCCCCACAAAGCCCAAGGTCCTTTCTTGGTCATCTGAATTTGAAAATAAGTGAATTACTCGTTCTTTTAAACCAAATAAATCAATCATTTTTATTTTTTATTATTTTTACTTACACAAGCATCGTGATACTTTTCACGCAGTATAAATTGTTACATTAATTTCCACTAATCTCACTAATTTTACTAATTTTACTAATTTTTTTATTAATTTTATTACCTGTTACCGATTTTTTACTAAATTTACTAATTTCACTAATACGTATGACATGAATTTTATTTATCGTTATACATACAACACGATCACTTTTTTGCTGACATTAACATTTACTGAGTACCATTACTGTTACAGTTACCTTAATGTCAATTTTTATGTATTACTATTTATTATAATTCTACATTATTGTTATTATTAAGATATATACATATATACAGTATATTACTGTCATTTTATTTTCAACTACTGTTACGTATTACTATTATCTGTTATTACTTTTATTACTTACTTTTATTACTTTTATTACCGTTACCATCATACTTTCATACTTATTCATACTTATTCATACTTATCATACCATATATTACATTTTTATATTACCGCCATTACTATATTGCTATAATCTATTACCGCAACTATTATGCTGCTACTATCATACGATTTTATAACGATTATAGCGATATTATAACTATTATATTGCTTTATTACTTTATTACTTTATTACATATTTAATTACGTATTTATATATATTATTCTTAAAATTATCTGGTCATCATGTAGTCACTATTTATACCATGTAGTTAAATTTTTATTTTGCAAATTTTTATTTAAACTTGAGTAATTGATCTTCTTTCTTCTTTTTTTCTCGAAGCAACTATAAAATCAAGAAAACTTGAAACTCCCGCCGTTCTTTTGCATAATTACGTTAGTTTTTTTTGTTGTGATTTCAGGATTTTCTACATACTTGCTTTGTACCGGATTTGTATTTGTTGTCACACATTTCTTTTAAACTTTATAATAACTTACCCTATTATAAAAAAATTATAAATACTTTTCTTTTTTTGAATGGTATCATTTCTTGCAAGTTGTCTTTTCGTATATCTCTGCTGTAAAGGATAAACTTGCGATTTTCTACTTTTTTATCCTTTGGCGTTTCCATTCTTTTCCCTTTTAATTCTTCTCGTTATTCTTTTCATTATTCTTCTCGTTAATTTTTTTTTTGGTTCCTTTTTTTTTTTATCGTCTATTTCAACCTAATTTTTTTTTTTTTTTTCTTTCCATCATTATTGTTCAAAAAAAAAAAAAGAAAAAAAAAAGAAAAAGAAAAAAAATTTTCTTTTTTTTTTTTTTAAAAAAAAAAAAAAATTCCCTTCCTCCTCACAAATCATTATATCATTATTGGGTCTGATTTTTTTATTTTTATAAATTTTTTTTTTTTATAAATTTAAAAAATCTTTTTACCTTACTTTCATAATGTCTATATATGCTCCCGACCACATTTCAACTTCACCTTCAGATGATGATGATCAAAAAATTATAATGGATTTGACCGTTTCTCGGTTTCAAACTGTATTATTTCGACCTTTATTAAGTGATAACCAAAATGACCGTACAAAACAATTGGATAAAATTATTGACGTTGTAAAGAATTGGGCAAAAGATTGTTATTCTTCTGATTTTTCTTCTGAATCTCAAGAACCTTCTCCACCTTGTGCTACTTCTAAAAGGTCTTCGGTGTCTGATGGTAGTATTACGGTAAATCATCCTGCTTCTTTGACTTCTTCTCCCATATTCACTGATGATACTCCTTCGGGTTCGGTTTCTTCGTACGCTGTTTCTCCCAGTGCTGGTGGTAATGTTACTAGTATTATTAATCTTGCTACTGCTCTCTCTGGTGACCTTACTTCTTCCGATACCCTCCTCTCTGATGATATTTTTATATCTAAAGACAGTCCTAATAATTCTTCGGCTCTAAGAACTGATAGTATTCCTCGAAGATGCTCTATAGATCAAGATAATTATGATGGAAATACTGAAAAAGCTCTTAAACATCATATTTACACTATTTTACGCATGTCTATTGACTGTCCCTTTGATGATGTTCGTCGAACTTTTAGAAAATTTTTGTTAGACTTATGGGTAAGCTTTTTTTTTTACATCTTCCTATTGTGACCTTTTTAGTTCTCTTGTAAATTTATTTTTTTGGTGGTATGCTTGTGATGGCAAAAAAAGAGGCTTTTTTTTTTCCTGCAAAAAAAAAAATTTGCTTTTCTCCTATGTCACGTGTAAGCGTTGTTCACGTGCGTAAGGCATTTAAGTATATCGATAAAGTCGATATCATATAATTTGTTTGATTTGTCTTTTTAGAACGGGCTTTTAAAGTAGCTGCAAAGTAAGTCATTGCTTTTTCTTTTTTTCTCTTTTAAGTATTTTTATAATTTTTATTATTTTCTTTATTTTTTTTTTATTTTTTTTTTTATTATTATTTTTTTTTTTGTTGCTTAGCGGTTTGAATCTTTCAACATACAATCATTCTTAATTTTTCATTATTTTATTCAGTTTTATTCAGTGTGACGTTTCCAACCCAACTCCCGAAAAAATTCATCAAATCTTTTTTTTTTTTTTTGCTTATCGTTTGATGTTTATCGTATTTATTCTTGATATCATACGATGTCTACGCAAAAAAAAAAAGAAAAAGAAAGAAATCACAAAAAAAAATCAAAAAAAAAAAAGAAAAAAAAAAAAATCTAAAAAAAAAACAAAAAAAATTCTGCGAATGATAACCTTGCAAGATCGAAGATATTGATGTGTTGTTTTTATAATGATAACGATTACTGGATTAACACGTAATGATCATATACGATTAACATAACGATTAACAACATTAACGATTAACAAACGATTAACGTATAACGATTAACACATAACATAACGATTAACACACATTACCCAAGCAATAACCACCAAAAATAATTCATAAATACAGTTTCTTAATAATAAAAAAAAAAAAAAAAAAAAATTTGTTAATGAAATATTTGAAATGAATTTTTTAAAAAATTAATAATAATAATAAAATTGATTTTTAACAAAAAAAAATTTTGTTATAATTTTTTACGTTTTAATAAGGCGATGGGTGTACAGGTACCGGCACCAATTTATCCGTATCCTTCGTATTTTATACCTGCTGAGGAGATATTGACTCTTAAATGGTCAAATGAACAATATTCTCCTTTCTCAACTACTCCATCAACGCCATTACAACCACCCTCGGACGATCGAATATCATCCTCTAACATATCGTCGACATCATCTCCAAATACTTTTGTAGGAAGACAACCTGATGAACCTGTTAGACGTTTAATTCTTGAAACTTTTGCTAGCGTTGGAAGAATAAGTCATTTACATAGAATTTTGTCTTATTTTCCAAGCTTTTTGGAAAAGTATCAAGCTTCCTTTTGTAAAATTGTTGAAGATGTTAGTTGTCCTGTAAAAGTTGATGAACGATTATATATTGGAATAATGGTATTTATTTATTTTTTTCTTTATTTTATTTATTTGACTTTATTATTGTATATTTTAATTTTAATTTTTTTTTCTTTCTTTCCTTTTATATTTTAATTTATTATTTATCGTTATTTATTACTATTATTATTTGTTTTCATATTTTTGTCATTTATTGCTTCGTTTTTATTTTTATCATTTATTGTTTTTTTATTTTCTCACATCGCCTTATTTCTCATCACATCTTATATTATTTCTTCTCTTATTCTTTTTATTATTTTTTTTTTTAAAAAACAGGCTGCATCTCAGCACAAATGTCAATACCTTGTATCACTATTCAAACATGATTTTATAAATCAAAATGGTGATGCACGATGGCTTGAAGGTTTACAATATGCATCGGAAAAAATAAAAAGTTTAGCTAGATTGAATTCTATCTTGGCTCATAAACCGTGGGATCTTAGACCAAGTCATATTGATGAACTTATAAAATGTGCAAATAATCCTAATGGTTATTGGAAACGTTCCGATGTAATTCATGTAATTTTAGTTCTTGCAACTTTTCATAGTTTAAGTAGTTTTGTTATGGGATGTGGTATTGTACCTGAATATGATACAAAAGGTGGAAATTATATGCCATCAGAATTTAATCCAAATTTATTTGGATGTGATGATTCAGAATTTTCTTCTTATGGAATTTTGGATTCAACCGAAAAAATTCGTCCTGATGTAGCTGCTGGTTTAGGAGTAGTTATACCGAATTCAAATGCTAAAACAAATTCTGATTTAATATCAAATGATAATGATGAACATTCATTACCTACACAAAATAATCGATCATCTATTACTGGTGATGAAAATACTTTAGATACTAGTCAATTAATAGAAAGGTTGAAAAGTAAACGCGAAAGTTCTGCGTCAATTAATGAAGAAGAATCAAAAGATGACGAAAACACCGAAATTGAAGAAAGTGAGTAAAAGATAAAAGTAAGAGTAAAATCAATTAAATTAAATTATTCATTCATTTAATATAATTTTTTATATATATAGCGCCAAACGTTACCACCACTTCATTATCACGTGATGAGACAGAAACAACAACCAGTTTCATGAAAAATAACATCACAATACCGCCTCCAGGCGCTCATGACACAGAAGACTTTTCTATTTTTCTTGATCTTACCGTTGAAACACCTTATTCTGATTTTCCCATAGAAAATTCTTTATTTAAACTTCAAGAATATTGTTGGGAAGATCATGGTGTAGAGATGGTGAGCAATCCTTTACCGGGTGTAGGTGAGCTCTTGGATCAAGAATTTACTGAAATTCGAGATCTTACAGATTATAGGTAAGTAAAATTCACAAAAAATAAAATATATATTATGTATTACACGAAATTCAGAAATTTAAACATTGATTTATTGTTTTTTTTTTTTTTTTTTAGTTTATTCCGTTCATACACAAAATCAAATACCGATTTAGATACACTACCCTTTCGACAAGCAATCTGGTTTTACGTGTTACGTTTATTCGGACTTTTCAAAGATGATTATTCTTATGAGGACCTTGATTATTTACTTAATAATAAATTTAAATCATATATAAGGAAATTGTGTTGTACACCAGAAGATATTACTATTGACGATTGGTCAGATATGGGATTTGAATTTAGTTCCGAAGATAAATGCCACGTAAACCTTATTGCCGTTGAAGCGCGTAAACAAGCTGAATTAATCTACGGTTTATGGAATGTTATGAAATGGCGTTCAAGAGAAGATACCGAATGATTATCAAAAAAAAAACTTTCGCTATTCGAGCGATCTTTTTTTTTTTAAAAAAAAAAAAAACTTTCGTTTTCGTTAAAAAAATAGATTAACGTTAATTATAGAATTAGCGTTAAATTCGATTTTTTTTTTAAAAGAAAGAATCAAACATTATGCAAAAAAAAACAAAAAAAATTTTTTCTTCATACCTTTTGCTTTTAAAACAAAAAAATATTACACATTATAGACTCTTTCCTCACATTAAGTTTCGTGCTTATATTTTCATATATGCACAAAAAAATACAATTCAAGAATCAAAAAAAAAAAAACATTTACATGCATTATACGTGTATTAATGCTTAATTTCCTCGACTTTTATTTTTATCGAGAATTATATTTAGACTATTTAAAATATAAAAAAAGATGGTCGATACTAATTTAAATTCTCATTGACCATTAATATTTTCGCGTTCCTATTAATAAGATATACGAGATTTTTTTTCGATTTTATATATTTTTTTTATTACCTTTGAGAGGTGATATTGGAGTTAGATACGAAAACGATAAAACTTTTTTTTTTTTTTCACAGAATCGAATTAGTGTTTTTTTTCATTACAAACAAAAAATAAAATTTAAAAAAGGTGGTTTCTTTTAGTGCGAAGTGTAATTATTGTAATTATTGTAAATATTGTTTTTTTTAAATAATATGGAAATAATATGGTTTTTCGCGCGAACATAACGCGTGATCATATAGTTCAATTATCGTGACACGTATCACTTACTAAAGCTCTTATTTAACATGTTCGTTCAATGCATTTAATTTCCACTGCATATATTATTATCAGAAAAGGTGTCATCATGTAATTTACTATTAGAAACAGTATTATAACAATAGTAAATATGTATTATATGCATATTGCGTACTAAATGTTTTTATTGCGTATTAGCAGTATTAGCAGAATTAGCAGTATTAGCAATAGTAGTACGTACTATAAAAACCACACGAAAAAAGTATAGTAGAATATAATAGGTTAGTTCGTAAATTAACAATAGATTAAATGCATTTTTGTTAATAATATATACAGTAATATAAAGTTAAAATGAATTAAACTTTGTAATTGTATACAATTTTATATATTATATTAAGTATATATGGTTTATAATTTAGGTTATAAATTCCTAATTTTTAATATAATTTTTTTTTAATATAATTCAATACGCGTTTTAAAGTTAAGATTATCTTTAAAAAAAATTTTTTTTTTTTTTATAGTAAAGTATTAATTAATTCAAAAAAAAAAAGATTGCTATTATATCTATCCGAAAAAAAAGTTTAAAATTACGTAATACTTATACTTAAACAAATAAATCTTTTTCTCTTAGTTATCAATATTGATTTGATAGATATATACTGTACAATATTGTAGCAAATATATATATTAAGATATGAAATCATAAATTATCAAAGTTACTATTTTTCCTACCATCTATTGATAACACTAAAATTTTTATAGATCTTTTTATCATGTACGCATATTTGATATATTTGATATATTTGATATATTTGATATAAATACATTCATACAGTAAGTACGTACGTTGTCACACTAACAAGTAAGTATGTACTTATAGTACAGTATATACATAGAATACACTTTTTTTATTTTAATTCTAGATGGGTGAATTACAAAGGCTTTTTTACTCAGCCGTACATCATTTTGCATTACAAGATAACGAAATTCTGAATAACCATCTCTATCGCTATTATTTTAATAATTTTCCTATCGTTATCAAAGAAGGGATGGCATTCAAGATAAAGTACGGAAAGTGCCACATGATATTTACATATGTACATTTATTTGTACAGGTGACAATGTATGAATAGAAATGATGAAATAATGCATCTTAAAAACGGTTATTTTTTTTTATAAAGAATAATTGATTTTTTCATAATTGATTAATTACCATTGATTATTAAATTGCCCCAAGAATGTTAAATTTATTAACAAAAGCTCTCCTTCATGAACTGATTAAGAATTGGCTACGTATGTACGTACGACGTACGTATGTCATCCTACAATATCATACATTATGTATTACACGATATACACGCTTGTACACAGTATCTGGTATGAGATATGTTCAAAAAAATTACATAATTATCAATTATCGCCCTTGTGATACAGATGTAATTCCATTAGTGACTTTCGCTTTTGTTAAGATTCCCGGAATCCTATAAGAAATCAAAAAAGGAAAAGATTCCTTTAAAAATTATCGATATTAAGTTAATTAAGTTAACAGTAAATACTTGTTATAAGGGGTAAAAAATTAGTTCTATATACGAATCTATATATAAATCTATGTATAAATTTATGTATAAATTTATGTATAAATTTATCAGTTATGTATATAAATATATATATATAAAACTAGTCATAATATTATGAAAATCTTAAAAAAGATTAGGGATGTATCGATTGTCGCGTGCGTACATGTGGACGTGTAGTACGTACATAAGTGTGATTTTCGAAAGGTCAAATGATTCTTCCGAAATTTAAAAAATATATATTTTTTTTAAATTTTTTCGTTATATGTATACAAATCATATCTATATATATATCCGTGTATACTTCTTGGCAAAGGAAACTCACTTATATTCATTTTTTTTTAGAGTCACGTTTATAACATTTTCTCCAATCATTTCATTTTTTCACGATTAATATAATTTCCTTTTTGAAATTTTTTTAACGATAATTTTCTCAATCTGCAAAAATAGTATATTAATTAGTTCTCTAAAGTTTTTGATTATAATGTCAATCCAAGCTCCTGTGTGATAGTCAGAGATAAGGATGACTTTTTTGTAATGCTTTTTAAGAACTAAAATTTCTCAATCTTGAAAAAAATTTTTTTTTTCGATCCTACAAAAAACACTTTGACAAGTTGTTTTGTTTAATAAAAAAATTATTAGTAAATTTTATCAAACTTTCCAAACTCTATAACTATTAGAATATTTTTATTTAACAGAAACATTTGTCACACACATTCATCATGTTTAAACAGAAAAACATTTCTCTTGAAATAATTTTAGATGACTTTAGCGGCATTATGTATGGAAATCCTGAAGAATCTATTGGATGTAAACTAAAAGGGAAATTGGTTCTTAAAAATCAAAAGCCTATTTCGCCAAAACATTTAATGTTCGTGTTCATTGGAAAATCATCTGTCTCTTGTGGACCTATGATGTCTTCTTCAAATCCAGAATGTACATATCAATATATTTATTAAATATACTACGTATATATATATCGGTTACTACTACTGTAGATTGGGCTGTTCCGGATAAGAATTTTTGACCAGAATCAGAATCTAAAAGGTTTAAGTTTGGTCAAAGTTTCCAATCGGGGCAAATTCCAATTTGGGAGTATAACGATAACAAATATGTCTACTGTAAAAAAATTTTTTTCTTTTTTTTTTATTTTTATTTATTTGTTTTATTTAGATCGCGAATCACAAACAATTTATCGAAAACAATGCATATTTCACAATTCTCGATCATCAAATAGAAAAATTCCTCCTGGAACCTATGAATATGAATTCGACTTTGATATTCCTGGCTATTTACCTTCATCATTTAAAGGTGCACGTGGAAAAATTGAATATTCCTGTAATGCGATCCTTGCTCTTCCATTATTTCATAGTAATATTTTGGTAAAAAAACCGGTTACTCTAAAAAGGTGTCTTATAAATGAAGAAATACCATTATCTAATCAATCTAATTTCAACGAAGGAATTCTGGATGATCGGATTCAATTCCAAATTAGTACTCCCATTATGGCTTATCGTGAAGGTGGTCTAGTTTCCGCAAATTTAAATTTAAAACCTTTAAATTCTGAAACTTTTTTTGAATCTATCGAATATGGTATAAAAGAACAAATTCATTATCATACGACTGAAAGTTATGCAAAGACATTCATTGCAAGTGTTAAAGAAGATAAATTTCCACTTGGAACGAAAACAATACTTTTAGATCAATTCTTTCACAACTCTTCGGATCCTATATCTATTGATTTTCGACTCTGCCCTTGGGTTAATTGTGATTTAGATTCTCAATTAATTAACGTTAAGCACAAACTTGCTTTAACAATTAAAATCAATGATTCACCTGAATCTAATAATAATAATAATAATAATAATGATTCTTGGTCAGATTCTCATCCAAATGATTCAACACATATTAGTCGCAGATTTTCTTCTCCTGCAGGTCCACCTCCAGTCGAACGTCGTAGATCCCTCCGTGCCCGTTCTTTATTACCTTCTTCGAATTCCAGAACATTTTCTATTTCTAGTTACTTATCACAATCAAGAACTGAACGAAATACTAGAAATACTAGAAATGAATCAAAACCTAATACTAAATCATTGAACATTGAAATCCCTATAATTATTACTACAAAACCCCATACACCAAGACAACAAGCTCCTTCTTATAGTTCCGTTGATGAACCACCTGCATACATTTATGCTTCGATGATACCCCCTCCACCTGATTATTGTGCAGGTACAGAAACATATACAGACACATATGATTTCGATATCGATATTGAATGATTAACCTTTAATTACCTTTTACCGTTACTGTTACCCCTTTATCTTTCGTACTGTGTAATTATATATATATATATTCTTTAATTATGTATTTTAAATTCAGAAATTATGTATTCAACTGCTCAGTATCATTAATATCTGTCTTTACTGTATAAGGAAGAATTGAAAAAAGTTGTGTGGTTGTGTACCACTGATTATCATTATCAAAAAAAATTTTTTTTTTTTAAATATGATATACGTTGTTTTTTTTTTTTTTTTTTTTTTTATTTCTAAAAAAAACCTATAACGATACGATAATGTATCATCCTACTAGAAATTTTCAAATTTATCAAATTTTTGCTGCGAATACTAACCTTGGAAAAACAATATTTTCTACAGGATTATGTCGTTCATCTGCTTTAAAATTTAAAAATTTTAAAAAAAAAATTAATAACAATAATTTAAATATTAACGCGAATATTAACGCGAATAATATTAACGCGAATAATATTAACACGAATATTAATACTAATAATATTAACACTAATATTAATATTAAACATCATAAAACTTATTACCTTAAACCTATACAAACAGGTTATTCGGAATCTAGTGATGAAAATTTTATATCATGTTTTTTGAATTCGGAAATGATTGTTAAAACTTCTACTTTATTTAAATATGAAAAACCATTAAGTCCACATCTTGCTGTAGATAAAAGTTTGGTAATTTTTTTCATGTTAGTATAAATATTGTAATATGTATATACATATATATATGTATTTTTAAAAGATTTTTTTTTTTTTATTAATTAGGTACCTAAAGATGATGATGTATTGCTGGCTACAAAAAGTCATATAACTGAATGCGCGATCGATGCTAGTCACGGTGGGGGAACTTTGTTTTTAGAAACAGCAGGGGGTAATCTTCGTCATTCAACATTCAAGCATGGATGAATTTTTTATAATTAATTTAATAATTAAAAATTAACAAACTAAAAATAAATAAAGGAGTGACTAGTCCAATTATGTCTGGTAAATTTTTAATAAAAAATGTTGTCGAAAAAAAATATATATACAAAAAAAATATATAATTTATAAAATGATTATTATATGATTATTATGATTATTATAATTAGGAACTATTCAATCCGAATTTTATAGACCTCTTCGTCTTCCAACAATTTTAATCGGTGATAGTAATTTAGGTGGAATATCAACAACAATTTCTTCCTTCGAATCCTTACGTTTACGTGGATATGATATACCAATAATATTATTATTCGATAATTCTCAATATCAAAATCATACTTTTCTCCAAAATTATTTTCAAAAAAATTTAAATAATAATAATATTAATATTAATATTAATATTAATATTAATGATATTAATAACATTTTTATAAAAACAATTCCTCCTCCTCCACCTATAAACTCTTTAAATAAAAATGACGATATTCATCAACTAAAGAAATATTTTGATGAAATTGAAGATGATTTTAATAATATTTTGGAAAGTTTGGAAAATTGGCATAATGCAAGGTTCAATAGATTAAATGAGATGGCAGAACGTAGCAAAGAAGTTGTTTGGTGGCCTTTTACACAACATGAAAAGGTTGATAAGGTTAACGTCATTGATTCAGCATATAAGGATTTTATGATTATTTATGATAAGGAAGGTGATAAAAATTCGAAGAATGATGGAAATATGAAAGAAATGTTTGATGCTTCGTCGAGCTGGTGGACACAAGGTAATAATTATTATTTAATAATTATTTGATAGTTATTTTGATAATTCAATAATTTTCTTTTCTCCATATTTTTTAATAATAGGTCTAGGCCATGGTTCATCAAAATTATCATTATCAGCATCATACGCGGCCGGAAGATACGGTCATGTACTTTTTCCTGAATGTATTCATGAACCTTCTCTCTCACTTTCACAAACTTTATTAAATACAATAGGAAATAATTGGGCAACTCGTGTATTTTTTTCTGATAATGGTAGTACAGCTGTAGAAGTTGCGTTAAAAATGGCTTTACACTCTACTTGGAAAAGATATTTTAATGATCAAGATGATGATTTTCAAAAAATAAAAATTTTGGGTTTACACGGTTCTTATCATGGTGATACTATTGGTGCTATGGATGCTTGTTATCCAAATCCTTTTAATAAAGCAGTTTCTTGGTAAATTTTAAATAAAAGTTATATATATTTGTTTTATTTAGAAAAAGTATATAACTTTTATAATTTATCTTTTATCATTTATATAGGTACGAACCAAGAGGAAAATGGTTTCATCCACCGCGAATTTTGTTAAAAAATAATGTTTATAATCTACATATACCTTTTTCAAATCAAATAATACATTATCCTTCATTATCATCAATATTTTCTTCAGAACGATCAATTTCAGATCCAGTTTCTTTAATTTATAAAAATCATATTAAAGAAACCATTACTCGTTATATTAAAGAAGGAAATAAATTTGGTGCTTTAATATTTGAACCAATTGTAATGGGTGCAGGTGGTATGATATTTGTTGATCCATTATTTCAAAAATTACTTGTAGAATTTGTTAGAGAATGGGATGGATGGATTGAAAATTGGGGTGATAATATGAAAAACGAAAAAAATGATAATAATGATTGGAAAGGATTACCTATTATTTATGATGAAGTTTTTACAGGCTTTTGGAGATTAGGTCAATTAAGTGGTGCTAAAGCGTTGGGTGTGGTAAGAATTAATCAAATTTTATAAATTTTTTTTTAAGTTTAAATTTGTAAACTTACAAAAAAAATTTTATTATATAAATATTTGATTATTATTAGACCCCAGATATAGCGTCTTATGCTAAATTATTAACGGGTGGTTTAATACCATTGGCGGTAACTTTAACATCTTCATCAATATTTTCAACCTTTCTTGGTAAAAGTAAATTAAATTCATTACTTCATGGACATTCTTATACTGCACATCCAATCGGATGTATGGTGGCTAACACGTCGCTTGAAGAATATGAAAATTTAAATAAAACTAGTAATGATTGGAAAATTGGAAGAGAAAATTGGAATACTAATGAGGATAATCAATTTTGGAGCATGTGGAGTAAAGAGGTTTGTAAATTATTCTTACCTATATGACTCTAGAGAAAATTTGCTAATATTAATTTCTACTATGTGTACATAAGGTTGTGGGAAAAATATCGTGCATGGAAAATGTTGAAGGTGTATTTGCATTAGGATCATTATTGGCGATTGAACTAAAGGACGTTCATAAAAGTGGTATGATTTCATCAGATTAAAATTTTTTATTTTATTTTTATTTTTATTTAATTTTGATCAATGCATTTCTTTAACATAGGTTATTCGTCGGATGTTTCATCAACGATTATAAACCAACTTTCAAGCGATTCTGACGATATTTCAATATTAGCAAGACCTTTAGGAAATGTCATCTATTTTATGACTTCAATGATTAGTAATATTGAAAGTATTAGAAAAATGGAAGAAAAAATTTTAAATTGTTTAAATAAAAATTTATAATTATACATATATTATGATTGTACACGTATATTTAAATATTTATAAATTTTTTATAATAGTTAAAAAAAAAAAAAAAAAAAAACTCGAAAAATAAACACATCAAAAAATATTACATATATAACACCATATAGGTAATATTTATACATGAAAGATAATCAAATAAATTACTATATAAATAAATAAATAAACAAAATAAATAAATAAATAAATATAAATTGATTGTCATTATTATTTATATATATATGAATTTGTTTCTAATTATGCGGAGAATATTATGAGGGAGTGATAGATAGATCAGATTTTGTGTGCGTGTTTATGTTCGCACCTGTTCGCACCTATTCGCACCTATTCGCATCCATTCGCACCTATTCGAATCCATTCGCACCTATTCGAATCCATTCGCACCTATTTTTAAACGAGATCAATATTAACCAATATATTTACTTTTATTTTTAGCTCCGACGTACGTACGTATGTATGCACCTGTTTCCTAGTATATATTATAATATTGACATTGTTGAAATATGATTGCTATTGTCATTATTTGATATTGTATCATTGTCTTGTGGAGGAAGAATTGTTAAGGTTGTTTCATTATTTTCATTTTTTTCATTTTTTTCATTGTTTTCATTATTTTCCTTAATTTCATTATTTTCAAAAGTTTTATACTTTTCAATTATTTCTGCCAATGAATCTTGTTCATTATCGAACGTTTCATTTTGATTAACCGAGTCATTATATCTTGTTATAGCATATGTTAATGAATCCCTAGTTTTAGCAGGTTCAATTACATAATTATTATCAGTTGTGAATGAAGAGAAAGTAAGACGTTTTGAAGATTTATCAACTTTAAATGGATAATCTTCATTTGAACCCATTAAAATAGAAGTTGGATAAGGAGCACTTAAACTTGAATTTAATGATGTTGATACAGGTGTATTTTCCCGTCCTGATGATATTGAAATAATAGATAATCTCTTTTTCATTGAATTCCCCGTATTTGAACGTCTCCTTTCGGTAACTGATGGATTAGAATGTATTGATGTTGGTCTTGGTTTTCTTGTTACACATTCCCATAATTCTATGAATATTGTCTTTTTTCCAGCAAAAAGAAAAAATATTAAAATACCACAAAATCGATTAAAGAATAATATTGTTATTATCCAATTATAACTTGGAACATGATCATTAGCATAAACTGCGCAAGTTGACTGAGTTCCATTTGCAAGACATTGATTCCATTGTTGAAGCCACTCAGATTCTATTTCATTTCCGAGATGAGGTAATTTATATGTGTAAAAGATCTATATTAATATAAGTTATGGTTAGGGTTATGCATATATTAGTTTTACTTGTTCATAAAATACAAACGAAAAAATAAAATATAAAAAAAAAAAAAGACAGGTTACCCAGTTTACCAAGTAAACAGTTAACATTAAAAACGCGCCTAATGAAGCACGCCATTGAATTCGTATTATATTTCTTACATGTGTTAAGGTTTGTTGTGCTTCAAAAAATGACAATCTTACTGTTGTTCTATTATCAGGTTCATCTCTCCTCCAGTTTGCTCTGAAAGTAACCTACATGTATATATTTTTGAATTCATGAGTACTTATATTTAATATAGCCTGCTAAACTCACATGATCTCTATGAGTCATACATAGTATATATAAATTATAAAAATGCAAAATAATCTTACTTTAGCCATATAAATAAATGTTATCATATGTAAAAAAAGTGCAAGATAAATAAAGGACAAAGGAAGAAAATATACTGGGGAGTATTGTGTAGAAACAAAACAAATATTGGTTGCTTCAACTTTATTTAATACAATTGGTAATATGGTAGCAGTTAATGTGATGATAATAGTTAACGCGTGAAAAATCTTTATATGTCTAGTTATAAAGTCAGATTTCCATATTGATATCTTTTTAAAGAGATATAAAACTGATTAGACATTTTATTTAAAAAAAATTTTCAATGTTAATTAATTACTCACTAAATGAAGATGTATCATCAAAAGTGAGGAACAAATTGCTATTGCATACGCTCCACCAAGAGTAAAAATTGCTAGAAATAAAATGTAAAATGAATAACGAATTCAATTGAAAAAAAAATTCAATTGAAAAAAAAAATTACCTTGAGTTTTACACATAGGATTTTCTAAATTTGCTCTCCTTATATTGTTGATGCACTAAAATATACGTACGTAAAATCAATACGAAGCAATAATCACATGACGCAGGAAACGGGAATATAAACTAACCTGACTATTTTGTTGCTGTATTGTAAAGAACTCTGAACCTTCAAAATAACAGACACTCAATGCCAAAGGTAACAAGAGTTGCTTTGCCGTAGGATTTCTTCTTTGACTTGGCAAAAGTAAAAAAAGCACCGATAAAAGTAACATTAAAAAGAAAGAGATAATTCCAAATATTGCAAATATTTCAAATGCATTTTTTATATCATTTTCAGGATAAAAATTGTCCAAATAAGGACAACTTAAACAACAACTTCCGTTACATATCATGCCTTCTTCGAAAGGTCCTGAATACCATATTAAAGGAAGAGAACAGTTTGATGATAATATAGTGGAATCGTAAGAACCGTTAACCATTGTTGGTATATCAATTTGGACTAAAGCTTCACATAAAAATTCCGATAATAGAATAATCCATAAAAGAATAAGAGACATTGGTTTTGCGAAAATCGTCTTAAAAGAATGAATATTTGACCGCAGCGTCATGACGAAAGATTCGCTTAAAACATATTATGCGTTAACTGGGACTTTTTAATAATTTTTGCATTTCCAAAAATTATTTAAAAATTAAATATAATGATGGACTCGGAACGTTTTAAGTAACGGGATTGCACAGTGACCGCGCGTGGAAAAATAATACTAATTAGATTTACACATGACGATTAACATCAACATACGACCGATCAACCAAACCAATCGAGGAGAGGATGATCCAAATTATGGTTATCATCAAAATTAGTTTCACGCGATAGCAATCATTTTAGGTGATTATAAAGAGAATAAAAATCATCAATGATTCACATTTATCAAACATTGATACTAAATTAGAATAGGAACTATTATAAATTAAAATTTTAAAAAGCAACTTTTAGCTATTGAAATTTATTTTTATTAAAACTTTCTTTAGAAGCATATACGAATTAATTGAACTAATTGAACTAATTGAACTAATTGAATTCATTGAAAGAATATCACGAGAAAATTTCTATCCAAAAATATTCATAATACTGTACAATTTCACATAAGGTGTACTTATTTTAAGACGCATATAAATGTTATAATATTTTGAATATCTTACTCATAGATTACTTAAACGTAAGTTATTTAATAATTTTTTTGTTTTCTTTGTTTTCTCATAATTTTAATTGTTTCCAAAAAATCCACGCAAAAGAGTTTTTGTCATTGGACTTATAACTTTTGGTTCATGTTGGAAGCATGCCTAAAAAAAACAAACATCTTTAATTTACATTTTTTATTTTTTTGAAAAACATTCGAGAAAATATATATATATATATATATATAAATTTACCATTATAACTCCCATGGCCGCTGAGAAAAACCAAATTTCGGCAGTTCTATGTAACTCAAAAATACAATTCTTTTGGCACATGATCTTGTACAAACTTTCTACAGCCTTAGGTACAACATATACTGTCAAATCACTTCTTCTATTTTTATGTTCAATTAAGATCGTAAGTCCAGAAATCACTCCAGTAAGCCAATATAAATATTTGGAATTAAAATTTAAACCAATATTTTTAACAAGATTGCGATGAATGCAGATTTGACTTTGATAAGTTGACACAAATACTGCAAGAAAGGTACTTGACCGAACCGTATTTTGCACACACTTTCTAATTAAAGTGTATGGACTATTTTTGAATTAAAAAGGAAAGATGAGATGAATATCGAAACGTTAAATATATATTAAAAAATTATTAATGAAATTAATGAAATTAATTTAATTTACTTACTCTTTTAGGAATTGATTTATTTTAAAAACAAACATTGGTACGATGTTGAGTGTAGCGTAAACAGGGCAAATTGTTTTAAACACTCGGAGAAATCTTTCACTAGTTGTATATATACATGAATCAAATTTAGGATGCACTAGTTCGCTGTAAAAAAACATTAGGATAAAAATATTAGTTATTTTCATCTTTATCATTAAAAAAAGGAAGGTTTAACTTACCAGGGAAGTGTTATTGGATTAGGTGGCAAATTTGATGCTACCTCAAACGCATTTTTTGTTCCCTTGCCCTTTGTTACGATGCGCAACGCATCATCTAAAGTTATGCTCTCTCCACGAACATGTTTTAAATTCAAGTCCAAAGTGTCTTTTGGAACACGTGCGGTTTTAATCATGAATTTTAAAAAATCTGGGGGGATGGTTGTAGGTTGCATCTAACAATCCATATAAAAAAAAATTAGTGTTACTAAAAATTTATTTTTTTTGATCTCTAATATTCTAATATTAAATTTCGTACCGTGTATGCATAAAGAACTTGACCGCAAGATAATGCAAAGAGAACAACACCTATATGAGGGATGTCAAAATATTCTCGCGTACGACCACTTTTATAAAGAGCTTGGATTGCACTAAAAAATAGAGTTAGAAAAAAAATTTTTAATACTGTAAATATAATAAATATAATAAATTTTAAATATAATATATATAATATATAAAGCGTACTGTACATACCGTACAAACATTTGTTGTGCGATCGCTATTCTTCTCTCTCGCTTTTCTGCTACTACTGATATTCCGGCAATGGACCCTTTCGGAAATACACAAAATATTTGTAAAATGTTTTTTATAATAATATCATAAAAGAATGTTATAAATAAGAAATACCAGCGACAAAGGCGTTCCATTTATCATCTTTTTTTCTAATATATCGCAAGCTATTATTGATAAGTTTCCACAAGAAAGAGAATCCACCAAATGCTACACCGAATCGAATTGCATCAGGACCAAAGAATCCACGAGTGATTGCTCGTACGATAGTTCCTTTCCTATATTATATTAGTAATCCCCATATCAGGTAAACACAGTCGATCACTTTATAATTCGGTCAATAATGACCAAAAATCATGTAGATCATAATACTTTAGCAAACCTTTTGCGAAATAGTGTTAATAAATTCAACAAAAAATTTACTCCACCGCGAATTCCATGTGCAATTAAATAGGATCCTAATAATGGAAATTAAAACAATTAAATTTATATTAAATAATATTAAATATATACACGTGATTATACGATTTTATACGATTATACAAGAAATATAACTTACTCAAGCCTCCAAAGACTGCATGTAAAACGATAGCTTTAGGTGTATCTGGTTTTTTTAAGACAATCTTTTGAGTATCATCACGATAATGTTCTTTTTCATTAGTAACGATCATAGGCTCTCCGTTAAGATTTAATTCTTCAGAAAGAGGATTAATAACTGAATTATCTGTTTCAGGAGGTGCCATTATCGTTAAAAAAAATGACTAAACGATGGTATAAAGGAATGAATGTTTTGGGTTTTTAAAATTATTAATAAATTTGTACTTGACAATTTATAAAGTTATTTTTCGGTTGAAAAAAATGGAAATAATATGCAAATATTTTATCCTAAATCAATTGAATTCAATCTGTACTCAAAAACAAAAAAAAAATTTTTTATAAATAATGAACTTACATATATATATGTAAGTTTTTTTTAGAACAAAAACAGTTCCAAATTTTGGGGAAATTTTTTTGGGGAAAAACAACGATGTATTGATATATTATTGTGTACATATCCGAAAATCTTTTACATACCACGTTTGAACGGATCTGCGATGGGGTTTAAAAATGATGTAACGGTTACGATTAACTTCGGTTATCCCCAAAATTCAATTTCTGTACAACGCGTTTTGTCAAAAATTTAGATAGTACGTACTTATGTATGTATGTCTGAAATACCAAGATAGTTATCAAGATTCTAACATTAGTATGAATGTATAGATTTTTTTATAGTGATGCAATCTTTTTTCATTCAACACATGCTCGTGCAGATAATTTGATAACGATCAATTCATTCGCCTCAACCTTTTTTTTTTTAGATTCAGGGTGTTCTCAAGTGCCTTAGTCAATCGATCGGAATAGGGTCGGGGGCAAATTTTAATTAATAAAAAATTGGGTTT